GATAAAGAAATGAGCTCAGCGGGTTCGCGTGGATCTCATACGTCTCTCCTACGTTCGTCACTCGTACTTTATTCCCGCACTCTACCCACGGCTTCAGTCACCCAATGACGCTGTGCCTGCCTCGTGCATATTCCGCGGCAACACGAAGCCGCGAGCTACGACGAAGGAAATTATTTTATTTCGCACTTCAGAATATCACCCCGTGGACTCATTCATATTCATGCCCGCGCCTGAGCACTTCGTCTCCGAAATGCGCCGGTAGTCGTGCCGGTTAGTTTAAGATTCAAGCACGGTCTTCTTATACTCGGTCTAACTCCGTCCCTTATTCCCTTATCGCCTTTGATTTTGTCTCTTAACGAGGATAAATATTACTTGCAATACGGTATGCCAGGTTTCCAAGGCGTTGGAGTTATTCGAGTTTTGCGTCGGGCGCAATCATGTAACGACATAACGTACTATTACGTAATCGTGATATAGATTAAAACGTAAATTAATATTCTAGTTTTGTATATTTAATGGCAGTTCGTACCAATTTGCATTTCTATTATTACAATACGATTGCGGTAATTTGTAACTTTCTTCATTAACCTTGGAACTATTAACACATAAATTTTATATACAAATGAGCAAACTCATTGGATGTTAAGTTATGCTTTCAGTGATCATCAGGAGGTCATCCAATCTGTCATGCTAAAAGGATTAAAACGAGCTTTTAAAAATTCAACCCGTTATGTATAGTCAGATTAGACTCTCTGATGGTCGGTATTGTAACAGAAAATATAATAAATAATTTCAATTTTTAACTAGTTTTATATTAAATATTTTATTAGTAAGTGTTATGAGGTGACATTAAATTTTATACTCTATATTTCAAAATTAAATTTGATTAGTATTTTATTCACTTTTTCCTTTTAAATTAATAATTAGGTTATTTGTATCTATAAAGGTTTAGATAAATATATTGTTAGTAAAAATGTAAAATATATCAAAATTTTGTTTACTGAAAGTATTATTTCATTGTACGTAAAATTTATGTACCGATAACAATATGTACAATTGTATTATTCAATATTGATAGCGTTCTAAAGTAAATATAAAATAATTATATAACGCATAAGTTAATATTCACATAATATTCAGTATTGATTTGAAAAACAGAATGCTTATATAGCTCTCTTTAATATCAATCTATGTTTGGATGATTCAATTACAAGAAATAAAATTATATATTATTAATATCAATTAATTTTATTTAAACTTATAAAAATATTAGTTTTAACTCTTTAATAATCAAAATGATTTAATTTTGATAAACATTTTCATTTAAAATTTATCAATATTGTTAATAATTACATTGCGCTGACAGATAGAAATTGTATATTCACCTATTCTCCGGTTTACATCATCATTTACATACACATCAGCGAGATGACAATCGGTTCATTTCCGCAAATTACAATCGGATCTTATTCAGCTCTTATTCACAGCGCGAGGTCTAGTTACGAATGTGATTGTCTCCCGACGAGTAAACTTCCCTCCAAATAATGCCATCTCCTTGGTTTATCTAAACAACCCCAACTTCTCACATTGCCCGCTTAACGCAGGCGACTCGGTTGATTAGGGTGCAAACGAACCGTAGACATTAAATTATTCATCATCCTCTCTACAGTTGAGACAGTTAATTAACAGTTTAACTCGTGCCTGATTAGTTTACGTTATTAATGCGATATGATTAAAACTTTTTTGGATTATGTGATGTAAAGTGAATTCGCTTCACCTCCGGTTGGAATGCGATAATGGCAGTTACATGAAATTCTCAGTCTCAGCCTTGTTATCATATACATCACAATAAAATGTTAAAAAATGTGAGAAAATTTTAATAATTAATTATAATGTTATATCAAAAAAAGAAATAAATTAGTCTAAATAAATATAATGTATATAGATTCTATATTCGATTTTATATGCACAGATTTTATTCGTGCAGAGATGTGTATGCGTTTACAGTTGATACGCTGCCTCTATTCTTGCCCGTCCATTGCAACAGTGATTGCAACGCAAAGAACATCTATATTAAAAATCTCACGAGAAATCTACGTAGTCGAAACATCGCAAATTAACGTCGCAAAGAAACGTCGGTTCCGCCTGAAGCGTAAGAGTTGTCATTCCTTTTCCCGGAGAATTGGTCAGATCGTAAGATTTCCCGAGTGCCCATGTTACCGATTAGTCTCGGCGCACACGACGACGGTAAGATCGCGTTTCGGGCAAAAGGGGAATTCTCTTCGCCGAGAAAACAGGTAGAACGGGAAATCAGACGGGAAGCAGAGAAGGAAGGAAGGAAGGAAGGAAAGCAGGAAGGAAGGAAGGAAGGAAGGAAGGAAGGAAGGAAGGAAGGAAGGAAGGAAGGAAAGCAGGAAGGAAGGAAGGAAGGAAGGAAGGAAACATCGAACGCGCGTAGCGATAGACTTCTCTCTAGGAACGAGAGAAATTGCGGGGACAGCAAGGGGATGGCAAGTCGAGCGGTAGCACGTCACTATTGTGACGAATGATTCGCGCGTGTTCCATAGAACACCGACATTGCGTTTCGCCGAGCGTTTCTACTACCTTCCGCTACGAAAGCCGGTACTCGGCTTCGGAATCACGGGTGTCGGTAATATCGATCAGCGCGAAACGGGCAAATAGAAGGAGATGTAGGATGGCGACGGAGAGGCCGGGGAAGGGGCACTTAGAGAGCCGTTGCATACCGAAACTTCTCTCCGCACGGAGGTTCCATCGCGGATTTTCGCGAACAAAAAAAAAAGCAGGGGAATCCTGACGAGGAAAACGAGGACGACGTGCAGAAACGAGAGGAGAGCGATAGCGGATGATAGTGGGCGAAATGGGTGGGCAGGCGGTACACAGATGAGCGAGATGTGGTGGAGCTGAGCGAGATTCCATCCTACTTTTGTGATGCAACTGATATATTTTTATCTGACGTCAGGATTTGACTGCTCGTCGAACCGTCCCTACCCTCGGATTTCTCTAATATTAACCGATAAGAAATATGCAAATGATTATTAATTCTCTAGAAGCGAGTGTTCCAAATTTGTAACATTCATTTTAAAATTAAATTGGGTATAAATTTGATATTTGTATAAGTTAGTTATATTTAAGGGAATGGAAATATAAGTAGCACTAAAATATATGCATATTCTCTAAAAATGAAAGAATCAATGTATTATTACTGAAAAACAGTGCTTTTATAGTGCTTCAAGCTATAATAGAAAGACTACATCAATTGTATATCGATTATTAAAGATATATCGATAAATTCTTCGCTTATAAATCACTTTTTTTAGTAAAAATAGTAAAAAAAACTTTTTTTAAAAGACGATACGCTATTCCTAAAGAATTAAAGCTGCGGAAAATTCATTTCAATTCATGGAGTATACTTCTAAAATTTATCTGCTAAAATAAAGATTTCTCTCCATTGAGAATTTATACTTATTAAAACGATAATCGTATGTTCTACATGTAGAACTTCGTAATAAAATACACAGAGGTAACGTGTTGTAGCTGCAATATTAAAAAATCATATCAGATAAAGTGAGAAATAAAATATAATATTTAGTAACCTTTATACATACAGATAATCTTGTCAGTTATTTGATATTCAAATTATATTTGCAGAATGGACCATGCACTTCCATTTTTATAATTACTAATAAAAGATACAGTAATTTTATGTAACAGAAACCTGTTCTTTCAATATTCAACTGGATTATATTTTCACAAATATAAAATGATCGATGTGATAACTCTTTTCATTTAAATACATTCGTCTATTTTTGTATAAAAAGTAAAAATTTAATTAAATTCCAAAAGGCTGAAAAATAATGAAAATGAAGCCAAGTAACAGATAATATTGCATTATACCGCATTTTAGTAATATGTATTAAACGTAAAAGTCAAAATATCTTTTTTTTTTTCTGACTCGCTCTATACAAGAGCGTAATTCAGTCGCGTTATACACATACAATAACGAAAAATTGCTTCGCTTTAAATAATTATACATATGTCACTTTTTAATACGCAGTAACGAAACTGCTCGTAAAATTAAAACGACTGTACCG